TAAATCTTTTAAAAATTGAAAATTTGACTAGCACGGGAACGTAGTCTTGACAGTTTCTTCATTTCTGTATCCAATTTCGATTATTAAGGCGTTGTCAAAGTCCGATTCTCCAACTTATTTTATTTGCTTCATACACGTTAAGGTTGGGTACAACTTAAGGTCCAAAAATACTATAGCACACTATGCCACAACCAAAATTCTGAATAGGTGGAAAAGCAAGTAAATACTTTAACCGCGTACTCGATACCCAACTAAGTACTTGTGGCAAAGATTGGAGTACAAAAAGTACTCAGTACTTGAAGAAAGTATCGAGTATTTACTCGTAGTTACTTGTATCGGAACAACACATGGGCCATCCCGGGCACTTTGAAATTGGTACCACGGGTCCCGATATCCCGCGCCAATCTCTACTACGCACCTCTAACCACTCGACTGCAGCGGCAGCGGGAGAAATATAGACGATTGACAAGCTGGCATTTTTATCTGCTGTAAAATAAATTGAGGGGTTTGAAAATTTCAAACTCCCCATGTCCAGAAATCTCGGTATTACAGCTCCGATATCCCGAGATTTTTACTAATCTATTTACATAATCAGGCACGTTCGAGAGTCCGAGTGAAAGTGAAGTTGAAAACGAAAAAATAAGTTCACGAGCATTTGACATAAAAAACGGGAAATACAGAACACCAAAATTTGGATTGATAGTCAACTTGAGTCATTTGCAATCGGAAGTGAATTTCAGGCAGGTTGCCTGTGTTAAACGAAAAATCTGGTAGCAATTGAAAACACAAGAAAATTTTACATTTTTATGGCAGAGTTGTTCTTCGTTCTACTTTGCTGGCGTGGTTTTGTGGTAATTGAATTTCGACAAATATGAGTTAAGAATACTATACAAATATTTTAACGTTAAATTACATACTCTTCTAAGGTGCTATATGCTCCGCATAAGATCAAATGTGGCGACAATGAATCTGCAAGCAAAAAGCTCAGAAAAATTGTTCTTAAGTCGAAATCTCGAAAAATACCGGTATAAGAATTTTTCGCATGCCGAAACCCCGGAATTGTTGAAAAGCCTCGGGATTGAATCCCCCAGTACGTACGTACAAATCTAAATATATACATATGTATATAGTTTGCACATGTTCCCGTCAGGCACCTCTTATCACATGATTCATCGATACTTGATTGTATAATACTAAGAAATTGATTGCTTATCAAAAAAATTAACAAAACAGATTGAGAAAAACATGTACATACATATATATTATACTACATCATATGTATGTATGCAGGAATTATAAAGCTTATATAGTGACTTATCAGTAGAAAGTGTGCTTCACAAAACGGAAGAAGAAAAGACATATCTGAGATAGGAATCAATAAGTGGTAATTTAGTAAATAAAATTCGCGAAATTGCAATTGGTCGACATGTACTTAAATCTTATCAATTCCGGCGATCCACGTGCAATCGTAAACGCATTCTGTCAGAAGTGACAAAAGTAGTGTAGAATATGATTGAAATTACGCTTTCATTTACATACATATGTACATACGCACGCAACTTTTTAATGTTTCTAATTAAGGGAGATAGAGTAGACTCGATACAGTATGATTTACATTTTTCTTTAGTTATTTTTTGCATTTCAAAAATCATGTGTGTAGTCCCAGGGTCTGAAGATTACAGTGGTAGTCCACATACCTTCCCTTGCCGATACATGGTACATACATACATATGTTTTTAAATTTTTACTTTAAAAATTGCATGTACTTTATTCTTTCTGTTCTTTGAAAACAATGCTTGATGTACGAGTTTTTTAACTAACACAAAGCTTTCGCTTTTTCAAATAGAGTAAAAGGATAGGTAATAAGAAATTTACTCGGAAAAACGTTAAAGTTTTTTAAGTTCCAAATAAAATAAGTCGAAGTTAGAGACTATAGTTAGTATTGCCGCAAGAGCTATATATTTAATTCTGTAGGTAATTTTTTGATAATTTTTTTTGATAAATCAACTATTTATGTATTACTGAAAAATTGTTTTTAGGGCACATTTAGAAAACATATATTCTCATTTGTGATATATACATACATACATAGTGAGAAAGTACATATATAATTTCAAAATTAAAACATTTTTTCAATACCTTTTTTAACGTGGACCTTTTGAGTTAAAAATGTTACGAAGCATTAGGTACTGAAGGGTTTCTTTCTTGGAAAAACGTAAAATCTATGAGAAACTAACTCTCCAGAAATAATAGGGGTAGTATGGTGCACAGATTGCACGGATTGCACGGTTAAAACCGGTTTTCGTATGGGACAGCTTTGCAAACCGTGCAATCCGTGCACCGTGCAAGGGCTTTGCAAGACTCAGAGATAACCCCTAATATAAAATAAAAATATAAAATTTGACGAAGCACCGTTTTCTCAACTAGCTTTAAAATTTTATCTGCGCCTTAAACACAAAATTTGCTATGGAAAAAATTGGGTTGAATTTTTAAAGCTACTTGAGAAACCGTTTTAGGGCCGGTTACTCAATGTCTGGTTAACACTAATCTTCGGTTAAACATCGTTATCGACTTTACCGACACCGTGCTATATGCATGGAGTCGAAGACGTCGATAACGATGTTTAACCGCAGATAGTGTTAACCAGACATTGAGTAACCGGCCCTTAATGGTATATACGCAACTTATTCACCTAACTTTTAATATTACAAAACAAGGTAAAATGCATACAATTATATTTTCCAGCAACCTAAATTTCTGAGTACACACCTGACTAAAGACTAAAAGTGTAAAGAATAGCTAAAAATATGGGTTTACCAAAACTAAGGACACTGCGACGTAGAAGACTTGCCGCACTGAGCGTAAGGAAGATTCAGAACAGTAAAAATAACAATGAAAGCGACACAATGTCGAGACGACCCGTTCATCTCTAACACAAATTTAACGAGGGATGACGGCAATTCGTTTAAAATCACATCATACACCAACCCTGTCGGAAAGAATAACCACCAAAAAGGAAATTATATTATATTAGAGCTCTTTTGGCGCATTTTTTGCTAAGATACACTTGGTACTCATTGCTCCAATCCATATTCCTCCATACCAATGCATAGGCTAACACAATTTTTATTTTATTTATTTTTACATCAGTGTTTGCAAATAGCATTTAGAAAAATGTTAGAGCATCCATAAGTCTTTAAATATACATACATATCTGTCATTTTGTGGATGTGTGCAGAAATGATAAGTAAGCAAAAATTCATAACTCACTCAATTATAGATTTGTAAGATTTGTCCTCCGGATTGAGTTTTACGATCATATTTTTTTAGTTATTATCTTCATAGTTTTGTAGCAGAGGAAAACCCAAATCAAGGACTTTAAAGCCGTTTGTATCACGTTTTAGTTTTTGTTTGCGTTATGGCGTTCTTTCAGCAAACAAGCTTACGTACGTACATATATTTAACAAGGGTGCAAGTGGGAGCAGTGAGACAAGTATAATTTATTATTGCTAACTAATCAGCGAGACGGGTCGTATACGCAATATTACATCGATCGTGCTCATTTTAGAGTTTTGCGACTAATACATACATACATACCGTTTCGTTAATATCGAATGGCTCTATCTAAAATTTGTGTTTCTTTATAGAGTAGTTACTTATAAAACTTTATACAAACTAAAGTTCTTCATTTACGATTTTCTTCATTACACTGGTTTTAATAAACATAGTAAATAATCTACCGACTTTTATGCAGAGCTGAATTTCAAAAGAAAATGAGTGAGGGCTTTTCTATAATAAAATACGTATGTTCTAAATCAAACAAACAGAATCTTTCGAATCTCATACATTAATTAACCAATGGCCTAGATTTGTAAATTATTGCTCAGGTCGGCGGAATAAGAAACTTTGGTATTTTGGAATTGGCTTTTAACAGCCTATTTGTATGGGAATAAATATCGATGACTGAGTGGAAGATTGACTTATTTCGGCAGCCTGTTTGAAAGCGCCCTATCTCAGAAAATTTTTCCACAACGTCTCATATCAGAATTTCGTTGAAGAACGCCCTCTTTTAGAATTTGATTGAAAAACGCCCTATATCAGAATCGGTTCAAAAACGTCCTATCTCAGCATATTTTCAACGTTTTTTCTTTTGAGATAGCGCGTCTTTGAACCGAATTCTGAGATAGAATGATTTTCAATAAAATCCTGAAATAGGGCGTTCTTAAATGAAATTTCGAAGTAGGGCGTTCTTGAAAAGTTTTCTGAAGTAGGGCGTTTTTAACTGGCTGCCGAGATAGATAGGACGATCTTCCACTCAGCCATCGAAATATACATATTTAAATATATCCAGTTGAATCGGTTTTTGTTATATTTTGGACTTAAAATGACGAATAAGGCATTCTGCAATA